ACTTAATTGTTGTAGTTCCGTTATAATCTATCTATCTATATCTATCTATCTATCTATACTATATTTAAATGCTAGTGACAGCTATCTCCCATGTTTAAGCTTACTAATTTTGCATGTTTAACGAAAGAATTTTTTCATGTTTAAGCTATAACATATATTGCAATGCTTAAGAAAATTTATCAATTAGTTTTGCACAAGGTCAATAGTTTTTCAGTATTTTTTCGAGGCCAAATAAGGTCTGTCTGTCTGTCTGAATACCTGCTTTTTAATTAATTTGATTATGTCTCTCTACCGCTCTCCTAATTTTTAACTTTCAATTTGATTTCGACGATTTTGTTCAAAATAGTACTATTGTGAAACGGTTGTCTCCAGTCTCTCTTTATCTTTATCTGGATTTTCTATCGTTTTTTTCCTGTCTTTTTTTCTATCCTTCTTTGTCGATCTGTTTTTTCTATCTTTTCGAGATAGCACGTTTTCTGTGATTTTTCAAAAAATTTTCGGAAAACTTGAAATAAATTTTGTTTTCAAAATTTTAATTGCCTTACCCTTCAGTTGGGTGCTGTCAGGGTACTCTCATGAGTTGCGAATCTTGCCTCCGAATATGACTGCTCAAATCCTTGTAGTTTTCGAGATATGACGTTTTTTGTGATTTTTCAAAAAAGTTTTCAGAAAACTTAACGATTTTTTTTCTTCACAGTTTGAAATTCCCAACCCTGTAGTTGGGGCCTATCAGAGTACTATCAAGTATTGCGAGTCTTGCCTCCAAATAAGATTGCTCAAATCAGTGTAGTTTTCGAGATATGAGGTTTTTCTTATGATTTTTCCAAAATTTTCAGTTTACTTAGGCTTGGAAAAGTTCTTAAAATTTAAATATCCCAACCCTGTAATTGGGTGCTGCCAGGGTACTCCCAGGAGTTGTAAATCTTGCCTCCAAATATGGCTACTGAAATATTTTTACTTTTCGAGATTTGACATTTTCGAGATGACGGAAAATAGGAATTGAAAAAATATATAAAATTTTATATACCAACCTAGTAATTGGGTGCTGTCCAAAATATGCGGTTTTTCATGAGTTGTCAAAAATTCGAAGCACCGAAGGTGCGTTTTACGCTAGTACTATATTTAAATGCGTGTGACAGCTATCTCCCATGTTTAAGCGTAATAATTTTGCATGTTTAACAGAAGAACTTCTTCACGCTTAAGCTTTATCATATATTGCAATGCTTAAGAAAATTTTTCGATGATGTTTCCCCGCAAGGTCATTAATTTTTCAGCAACTTTTTTGAGGTCAAATTAAGTCTGTCTGTCTGTAAAGCTGCTTTTTCATCTATCTATTATCTATCATTCTCCATTATAAATTTAAATGCGGGCTTCACTATCTCGCCATGTTTAAGCGTTTTCAATGAGTTATTTTTGCATGTTCAACAAAAGAATTTTTGCACGTCTAAGCTATAATCGTATATTACAATGTTTAAATTCTTTCGATTTTCCAGTTTAAATTCAGTGTCTGGTTCGTCGAGTTTGAATTAAGCAACCCAATACTGGGATTGTGTCAGGGTTTTCCCAGGTTTTGCGATTCTGGCCTCCATATTAGAATAACCAAATTTTTTTAGTTTACGAGATACGGCAATTTTCGAGATTTTCTTAAAATTTCTAGAACATTTTGAAATTAAAATTTTCTAGAAATTTTAAGAAAATCTCGAAAATTGCCGTATCTCGTAAACTAAATTTAGAATTTTTTTTTTTCAATTTTTGAAATTCTCACCTTGAAGTTGGGTGATGTCAAGTTACTCTCAGGGGTTGCGAATCTTGTCTCCAAATCTCACTACTCAAATCATTGTAGTTTTCGAGATATGACGTTTTTTAGGAATTTCTCAAATTTTTTCTGAGAACTTAAAAACAATAATTTTCACAAAGTTTGAATTTACCATCTCTGTAGTGAGGCTCTCTCAGGGTACTCTCAGGAGTTGAGAAATTTGCCTCCAATTCTGACTGCTCAAAACGTTGTTGTTTTCCAGATATGATGTTTTTTCTGGTTTTTCCAAAACACTTTCGTGATAAATTTTTATTTTTTTTTTGAAAATCTGAAATTCCTAACCTGTAGTTAGGGGCTATCAGAGTAATCTCAGGGTTTCCGAATTCGGTCTCTAATTAAGAATGCCCAAATGTTTTTAGTTCAAAAGATACGACAATTTCTGTGATTTTTTTCGGATAAATCAGAAAACTCAAATTACAAAATAATTCCCAATCCTGTAGTGTGTGCTGTCAGTTTTCTGTCAAAGATTGCAAATATTGCCTTCAATTAAGACTGCTCAAATCTGGAAGTTTTCGAGAAACGACATTTTTTCTGGTTTTGAAAAAATTCCAAGGTGGAAGTTCCAAAATTTGAATTTTCTAACGTTGTACTTGGGTACTGTAAGAGTACTCTCAGGAGTTGCAAATCTTGCGTCCAAATGCGACTTCTCACTTGTTTTTAGTTTCCCAGATGTGACGTTTCCTGTTACCTTTTGAATTTTTTCAAACAGATTATATGAAACTACAAAATTTTATGTTCTTCAAAATTTGTATCAAAAACTTGAATAAAAAACTTTGCAAAATTTGTAACTGAGAACCCTGTAGTTGGGTGCTGTCAGAGTACACTCAAAGAATGCAGATCTAATTTCCAATATATGCGGTTTTTATGAGTTGTTAAAAATTCGGAGTACCGGAGGTGCGTTACACGCTAGTTACCTAAGTCCCATCTGACTGACTGAAAAAAAACTAAATGAAAATCACGAAAAAAATTTGAAATTCAAACTTTCGTGGCAGAAAGTAAAAATTACGTTCTGTTTTACTTGCGCAGCAAATCGCTGTTTTTGTTAAACATCATTTTTTTAATTAATAGGGTTTTTCATCTTGTAGTTTTTCAGCCTGTTTTTGTGTGAAAGTATGTTAAGAGTCGATGAACGTAGATCAGGCTTTTATATAGGTCGCGATGATTTTTTTTTCGTTTATATAGGAAAAGTCCTAAATTTTTTTAGGCTTAGATGTAATTTTTCGCGGTTTGACTTTAATTTCTTACACTCATTTCCTTTGTTAACAAGAAGGTAAACATAAGTATCGAACAGCGAGGGTGTAAAATTCGCGAAAAAATTGATTGACATCTAACTTCGAAAATGGAATTTAATTATTAGATTTCCCAGCAAAAAATCGCATGAATGCAACGTAATAACCGTTTCACGGTCTCGGAAACCAAGTTTTTGCTTTATGTTTTTCAGTGACATTGTGGAGCATCGGTAGTGATGGTGCTCAGCAATCATTTGATTGCGGGTTCAAATCGCACGTGCACTAATATTTACAAGGTGAGGCTTTGTAAGTTAGCCATAGCTTAGTTAACCTTCTGAAGCGCTGAAGTTTACTCAAATAAGCGAATCAGATGAGATCTGATTATTTATGCTTCTAGTGTTATTATTTGCGTCTAGCGTTGTTTTTTTCATATCCACTGAATTAGAATCCTTTAGATTCCCTGTTATTTGACAAGAGCAGACATTCTCCCGAAATTTATATTTCTGTCCCTCGGACTGCACTAAAGACACTGTTGTCTGAGTGATCTACTTCATTGAAACTGACTGTTTTTTAATCAAATTACCCACAAAAGACACAACAGCTCCCGGGAATTTGTTTGTTTGATTTATCGGTCTGCCCCCAATTTTCGATAGAATTTCATTGCCTACATTTTAGAAATTGTGTGAGGAAATTTTGAGGGAAATAAGCTGAATATAGCTTGTCTGTTGTTATTCCCCTTGTCTGTTGTAAATTTAATACCCCGAACTGACCTAATCACTAGGTACGATTTTGTTCGCTAGCTTTGTCGATTCACGGAGACTTATAAAAATGCGTTGATTATAATTAAGAACGGATCATCAAACAGGCCTTCAAAGAGGCCCTCACGGGTCATCAAAGAGGCATTTTCACAGCACTCATTAACTAGTTTTTTGTCTCCTTTAAAGGCAAACCAGCTGGATAGTCGGCCTTGGTTTAGTTATTTTGACTGATCTCTTTCATTTAAAGAGTAGTCAGGGCGCATATACAATTTTCTCGGGGGGGGGGGGGGGATTTTTGACCCCACCCCCCTCAAAATTATTAAATATTGGCACTAAAGATGCCTTACAAAATTTTAGGGTCCGTCAGTCAAAAATGGATGTCCCAAAATAGTACAAATGGGAGACCCCTTGGGTCGGCAGGGGGTCGAATCCTTGAAGGGCAGGGGGTCGAATCCTTGAAGGGCAGGGCGTATAGTCCCCCCTCTTCCCCTAAATCTGCTACTGGGAGTAGTTAGATGTTTGTGTTATATTATACTCTACAGCTACTATCATCTGCCTTGCGGAAGCATTTCGACATTTACTCACTCAGTGAAGTGACTTGACCATGATTTTGCTTTCCAAGGGAGATAGTATTTGGGCGTCATTTCAACAAAACTGTCAGAACCCTAGAATCCGTCAGTTTTTCTCGAATCAATGAAATGAAATCGATTGGCCATAAGTGACTTAGACTTCAGGAGGCAGAGACCAATTTAAGCCTTTCACATCTATTTTTGCGCCATATTTTTGGTCCCAACTGTAAACTTGATGTGAATCAATCTCTGTAATTTCAATCAGAGGTATTAACGTTATTTTATTTTTTGAAATCCATATGCTTTTTTTTAGAATGGCGGTGTTAAAGAGAACGCGAACCATTAAGTGTACCCATCCCAATCAATTTTCTCTCCTTTTTTAAATATAATGTAACGGACTTGTTTTCGTCATTAAATTCAACAAATTGAAATAGTGGGTTAAAAATGGATCAGATAGTGAAATAAGTGCAAATGGTGTAATCGCCTTTCGAGCACTTCTGTTCTCTAATTATTCTACCATTTGATTTTAGGCATTGAAGTAAAAAGGCTGTCAGAAGCTAGAAAAATGATCACTGCTTATTTCCTCACTATCCACGCTGTGCATCCTAAATATCCGTTTCTGTTTCAGATTACTGTAGTTAGAAATTAACATTACCCTGCCAATTCCGAAATATGACTCTTTTTGTTACTTTTACACTAATCTAACAAACCCATCCTGGTTACTTCTTTCTAATTTTATCCTGCTATTCGTCCAGCTTCAACTTCGCTTTCAAATTTCGCCTCGTCCCTCAAGCTTACCACTGCCACATATCGAACAAAGCTAGTTTGCTTGAATGTCTGGAAAAGAAAGAAGGTTCACAAGGTCATTGCGACGACAGTCAGTTACGCTGAATAACCTTGTTGTTTTGGTGTTGCTGGTCGCAGTAGAAGTCTCCATGGAGAAAGAGTTTGCAAGTGAGGCGCATCGAAGACGCCAGGAGAGGACTTTTTCACGAGGTGTCAGATCGGCTTCACTTGGCCACAACCAACAAGGTCAGTTCCATTTGAGATTATTTTGTTTTTAGTTATGTAAATAAGAATCCAGTCTGTTCCCTTCCTCAAAACGAATTTATTATAATTATTAAATTTCAGTTTAGATGGTATCATGATAAGTGATCTCAAACTAATGGTCTAGAGATCGAGACCACCATAATCTGTGTTTGTTGCTTAAAAGTAGGGTAACATTTTTCTAAGCTCCGAAGAATAACGCAAGTTTGTTGCTTTCCATTGCGGATAAATGGTCTTATTCTAATTTTAAATGGTCTTAATTTTAAACACTTAGGTGTTCCATGAAAACTCATATACAAAGTCTTCAACGCGCGGAGGTAGGGTCAATGGGTTGGGTTTGAGTGGTTCTGCACCACTAAAGCGAAAAGAAAAAGGGGTAGTAAAATTAATTTCAATTGTCCTTAATTAAAAAAAATTTCTTCGATTTTAAAATGCAAAGAGCATGTCTCAGTGACCAAGCAGCCATGAATTACTGGACAAAGGCTTCAATTTCGTGCGGCGTATAGTATCTTTTGGCGAGAGATTTATTTGTTGAATTTTTTTAATATTGTAATTCAATAAAATCTTCTTTTTTAAATTTTAATAATTCGAACTAGGGAATTAAAATCGAACTAGGGAAATTTGTCGTAAACTCAAGTGTCAAGAGCAATTCGAAAATTTCAGACTGTTTTGTCTGGGACACAAATGTCCCGAACAAAATTAAGCGAGAGACTAAATGCCCAGACAAGACCTTCCATGACACTTGAGTCGCAATTTTTCAAGGCTGAGTTTTTGGTGTTCTTGCTAATGTTCAAATTCTGGTTTCGAGGTATAACGCTTTTTTTAGGATTTTTTCCAAATTTTTAAAGAAAATTTATGTATAAACAATTTCGCAAAACTTGAAATTCTCATCTATGTAGCGAGGCTCTGTCAAGGTACTCTCAGGAGTTGCGCTTTTTGCCTCTCAATATGACTGCTCAAATCTTTTTAGTTCTCAAGATATGACGTTTTTTATGATTTTCTCCGAAATTTTCAAAAAAACTTAAATGTTAAGTTCCAAAACTTTGAAGATTTCAATCCTGTTATTGGAATCTTTGAGAGTAATCTCAGGGGGTTGCGAATCTTGCCTCTGAATAGGACTGCTCAAAAGCTTGCAGTTTTCCAGATATGTCGTTTTTGGTGATTTTTTGAAAAAAAATTTTATGAAAATTAAATTAATTTTTTTTCTTCAAAGTTTGAAGTTTTTAACCTATAGTTGGGGGGGGGGGGGGGGGGGCTGGGCTGTAAAAGTAATCTCAGGGGTTGCAAATTCGGCCTACAATTAAGAATGCCCAATTGTTTTGTCCGAATTAACACTTGGAGACCATGAAACAGCAACAAAATGGCAATTTCTCAGCAGGTGTTGGGCTGGATACGTTTTGTTTTACGTAGGTTCAAGCAAAATCTGATAAGTTTGAACTGAAATCTATATCTATATCTACCTATCTATCTATCTATCTATCAATCTATCTATCTATCTATCTATCTATCTATCTATCTATCTATCTATCTATACTATATTTAATCTATATCTATCTATACTATATCTATACTATCTATACTATATTTAAATGCTAGTGACAGCTATCTCCCATGTTTAAGCATAGAAATTTTATATGTTTAACGAAAGAATTTTTTCATGTTTAAGCTATATCATATATTGCAATGCTTAAGAAGATTTTTCAATTAGTTTTCCGCAAGGTCATTAATTTCTCAGTAATAATTTTAAGTATTAATTTTTTTCGAGGCCAAATTAAGTCAGTCTGTCTGTCTGTGTACCTGCTTATTTAATTAATTTGATAATGTCTGTCTACCCGTCGCCTAATTTTTTAACTTTCATCGATTATCTATTATATATTTACATGCGGGCGTCACTATCTCGCCGTGTTTGAGCTTTTTCAACGTATTATTTTTGCATGTTTAACAACAGAATTTTTTCAGGTTTAAGCTATATCGCATATTGCAATGGTTAAGGTTTTCTCGATTTTCCTGTTTAAATTCAGTGATTATTTCATCAAGTTTGAAATTAGCAACCCAATAGTAGGATATTGCCAGAGTTTTCCCAGGTTTTGCGATTCTGGCCTCCATATATGAATAACCAAATCGTTTTAGTTTACGAGATAGGCATTCGTTTTAGTTTACGAGATAGGCATTTTTCGAGATTTTTCAAAAATTCTAGAAAATTTACTTTAGAAAAATTTCTCAATTTTTGAAATTCTCACCTTTAGTTGGGTGCTGTCAGGGTACTCTCAGGGGTTGCGAATCTTACCTCCAATTCTCACTTCTCAAATACTTCGAGATTTGACGTAGTTTTCGAGATATGACATTTTTTTTTTGATTTTTTTTCAAAAATTTTTCAGAAAACTTAGATATAAAAAATTTCACAAAACTTGAAATTACCATCTCTGTAGGGAGGCTCTGTCAGGGTACTCTCAGGAGTTACGAATTTCACCACTAAATATGATTGCTCAAATCCCTATAGTTTTCGAGATAAGACGTTTTTTATGTTTTTCTCCGAAGTTTTCAAAAAAAAACTTAATGTTAAAAAATTCCAAAATTTTGAAGATCTCAATCCTGTCATTGGAATCTGTGTGGCTAATCTTAGGAGCTTAGGAATCTTGCCTCTGAATATGTTCAAATTCTGGTAAGTTTCGAGGTATAACGCTTTTTTTAGGATTTTTTCCAAATTTTTAAAGAAAATTTATGTATAAACAATTTCGCAAAACTTGAAATTCTCATCTATGTAGCGAGGCTCTGTCAAGGTACTCTCAGGAGTTGCGCTTTTTGCCTCTCAATATGACTGCTCAAATCTTTTTAGTTCTCAAGATATGACGTTTTTTATGATTTTCTCCGAAATTTTCAAAAAAACTTAAATGTTAAGTTCCAAAACTTTGAAGATTTCAATCCTGTTATTGGAATCTTTGAGAGTACTCTCAGGGGGTTGCGAATCTTGCCTCTGAATAGGACTGCTCAAAAGCTTGCAGTTTTCCAGATATGTCGTTTTTGGTGATTTTTTGAAAAAAATTTTATGAAAATTAAATTAATTTTTTTTTTCAAAGTTTGAAGTTTTTAACCTATAGTTGGGGGGGGGGGGGGGGGCTGGGCTGGGCTGGGCTGGGCTGTAAAAGTAATCTCAGGGGTTGCAAATTCGGCCTACAATTAAGAATGCCCAATTCATTTTTGTTTAAGAGATAAGACGATTTTTGAAAACTCAAATTACAAATTTATTCGTTAAAGTGAAATTTCCAACCCTGGGGGGTGGGGGTTTATACTTGAGACATGTTAATAAGTTGTTAATACTTGAGACATGCTCAATAGGTACTTGATATTAGATTTCATGTTAATAACCACTTGAAAATAGTTTGAATGACATGAAATCATAAACCATATTTTCCAACGACTGTGGAAAGCCGAAATTTACAATATCAAAGCTCAAAAGTTTCATTCAAATTGAAAAAAGAATCAATAAATCAGGCATAAAAAGCGACTCTTTTCTTTCTTAAAATTACAAAAAGCTTTTGCGTACAATATTATGGTGCTGCGGAGAACCGTTTTTGCTATTCAGATACAAGGCGAGAGCACCAACCCTGGTAAATTGCTTTCCTCGATGAGGCTATGGTCGCCTATACAAAAATTTGCAAAAAAAAATTTTCTTTTCATAAATTTCGTTTTTTCAAAATTTTTCTCGATACTGATAGCAAAAAACTCAAAGAGGGGGGGGGGGGAGATTGCTCAATTGATCCGAATTTTCCAAGGGCCGAGCGTATAATTGAAAATACTTACTCTGTAAACATGTCTAACGAAATCATTTTCGACTTGTTTAACAAAATCATTTGATAGCTTGAAAATAATTCAGTTTCCCTCTCTCTTAACAAACAATTTTTTGTAATTGGGTTAATTTGTTAAGTGAAGTTTTATAACTTGAAGTGAGTTTATACTTGCGAGAGCAAGTGTGAGGTAATCGGCAACTAGTTTGTCTTGGATATCTATGTGGATACTTGTATCTGTTAATATGAAAATTTTGGAATCTTTCGTCTGCTACACTTGTGGTGATGCACCCCTATATCATATGAAATCAAAGGTCATGTTGCCAAAAGATGTTCTCTTGAATTAGGATAGGCTGCAATGTTTCGAATCTAATGTCTTTGAACTTAAGTTTCGGAATTCAACTATTTTTTCCTCTATGTTTAAGAGTAATGAACGTAGTGAGTTTTCTTAGATAGGTCTTGCTGTTTTTTTTTTTCAGGGAAATTTGTTCACGCTCAGTTTTGATTTTTGACGGATTGACTTGTGATTTCTTTTCAAGTTCAGTGCATTTCTATTGTTAAAAGGAAGGCAGACTCCACTATCGAACAGCAAAATTGAAAACGCCTTGAAAAACGTGATCGATTTCTAATTTCGAAAATGGAAGTTAATTATCAGATGTCCCAGCGAAATAAAAGTTTTGCTTATTGATCGAGTTCTCTCAATTAATTTTAACTAAAAAGTGTCCATGATAATTTAATCTACAAATTCCAAGAGGCCATTATTTTTTTCTTTGAAAATCAAAAGTTGAAGATTTTTGAAAAATTAAGTCAGTTATTTTCAGTTTCCTTGCGTCCTCTTTTCCAACTGTCAGTTGCCTGTGTTACCTTGTATCGAGTAGCCACCACCCCCCCCCCCCCCCCCCCCCCTCCCCCGTAACGTATAAATAAGTAAGTAGTTCAACAATTAATTTAATGCGAATTTTATACTTAATTTACCCCTTTTATGGAACGATCCGAAGTTTCTCCCTTACCTCCCAAAAGATCCACCTTTTGATACTATTCTACGATAACCATTTTCGACTGATCCTCATCAAAATTTTTCTTAAGGTATATTTTGCTTTGCTTAAGCGCCAGTGTAATTTTATTTTGAGAAGGGAGCTCGCGCCCAAAAAAACTCGATTTTTGGTCAAACCCTTACAAATAGTGCTCAAAAACAGAAATTTTGCCCATTTTTTCAATTTGCCTGCCGGAATTTGCCCATTTTTTCAAGAAATTTGCCTGCCGGAAAGCTCGAAATAATTTGGACTTGAAAAAGCAAAGCTTTTAAACATTTTATGAAAAAATCCTAGATCCGCGCCTGTAAAGAATGACAAGTCCGTTTGCTAATTTCTACTTTTTAGTTTACCACTGAACTTGTTTCGGTTCGTTGATTGCCCCTTTTATCCATGTGTTCATCTGCTCTGCCAGACAACATAACGCCACATGGGAAAACAATCGATCACTGATTATCCCCTGTACTTAAAAGCAACTGGCGTGTAGATTCAAATACTGAGATAGAAATTGGTTTTATAGAGTGTTAATTGATGTTCATCTGATAGCAAATTCAACCATTTTCGGCTATGTCTTTTTTTACGACGTTTCCTTTTTTAAAGCTGACTGATGAAAAGCCAGTGTTTTTTTGTCAGCCTTTATACACTTGTCTGATTATCCGTTAGTTTTAAAAGAACGGATGTGCGGTCGGATTCATTATTTGAGTTAAACTTATTCAACATTTACTCTTTTCGAAAAGAGATTGCTCAAGTGTGTTCTGGCAATGAATTCGACCTTTGCAATAAAATGTCACAGACGCTTTAAAAAATCAAATGAAAATTTCATGTCCCTAAATGTCTCTTAAAGTATTCCACCAAAGCATCTTATTACTGAAATAAAGATTGAAGATGCATGTTTAAGGAAACAAAACCGCTGACCCACTCAGCAACCCAAGCCGCGCCCGCGAAAAAAAGATTTTTTTGGTCAAAATTTTCACAAAATGCCCTGCAGCCTCAATTAAAGAGCCATTATTCAAAAATGTGTCCTGCCTGATGTTACTGGGTAAAAGCTGACATAAATGAGATGTTTTAATGGCTTCAGATTTTATCTGCTAAGTATTGCCGTTGCAATTTATTGCTAATATTTATTAGTTTTATGTACGGTTTTAGCCAAATCTAGTTCCAATGTGTGGTCAGAAAGCACAAGCTACACTGACGGGAGTGCCTCGGAGGAACGAGACAAAGAGATCAACAGACAAGCCAAGATGTTCAAAACAAGTTCAATTTTAGCCGGATTGCTAGAAGATTACGATTCTAGACTCCGGCCTCAATTTGGAGGCGACCCTGTCGAGGTTGACGTCACAATGCACGTGGACAGTTTGGGACCTATAAGTGAGACGGACATGTGTTTTCGAGTTGACTTCGCGTTTCGCCAGTACTGGAACGACGAGCGACTTGCTTTCGCCGACCAATCAAATGATAGTATCACTCTATCACATGAGTTCTTGGACAAGATCTGGCTCCCGGATACATATTTTCCGGGTAAGCTAACACCGTTTTTTTAACCAGCTCATTGAAACCAAATGTCTTTTAAATTAAATTTCAGACGCCACACGAACTCGTAATATGCTTTGGCTTGGTTTGGTAAAACGGGCAGTGATGTGTAATCCAAATAGTTCGTTAGTTTTCGCCTCACTGTTTCTGGTGCTTTATTTTATAATTTGCGTTTCTGCATATCTACCATTAACAATGAGAAACAAGGATAGACGGTTACTTTGCAAGTAGCACAGAATTTTCCGACCACAGTCTTAGAAAATAACAAAAATATATATATTTTTTTCTAATTAGTGTCGTTTTTTTTCCGCATGGTGGGATAAAAAGATCTGAACGAAAAAAAAACTTAGAGATATTTGACAGTTATAGTAGAAAGCTATTCAAAAAAACAGCTTTTGAAAAACGAAAAAAAAATGTAAAAAATTTTTATTTTTTTTTGGCAGAAGTTGGAATTTCTAACTATTGTTTAAAAAATAGCGATAAAAAACTCCAGAAATTACTTTTTTTTAGTACAACTAAGTTTTTACGGCTGGAAGTAAGCTTAAATCAGCTTTTGTAAGCCAACACGCTCTCGCCATTTTAGATCGAAAAAAGATCAAAAATGTCAAACCGGTTTTTCTCGGCAAAATTTTTTTGAAATTTTTTAATGTTCGAATCACAATTGAAAGCTTTAATATGGTATATCACTCGACCCATTTCGATAATTATTTGTGGTACCTGATTTTGCGTGGAAAACAAAAACAAATAAACAAGGATAGCCGGCTACTGCGCAAGAATGTTCCGACCACTGTCTTAAAAAAATACAAACATTTTTTCTCAAATTGTTGTCGTTTTTTCTGCATGTTCTGATAAAATATCTAAAAGAAAAAAACAGAACTGAGGAATATTTGAGAGTCATGATAAAATAGGTCAATTGTAAAAAAGTTTTTGAAAGAATTTTTTTGAATTTTGAAGTTTTTGATTCCCAAAATTGCGCTAAAAACTACCTTTTACCTGAGGAAAACTAAGTTTTCACGGCTTAAATTAAGCTTAAATAAGCTATTGCAATTTCCAATTATCTCACTGATTGGCTCAAAATTAGACCAAAAATCAAAAATTTCAAACCGGTTTTTCTCGACCCTGAAATTTTTTTAATGTCGTTTGAATCACGACTGGAAGGGCTTTAATATGATATATCAATCAACCCTGCCCGATGAGTTTTTTTGGTAGCTGATTTTGCGTGGAAAAAACCCGAATCCAAAGTTCCTCCCATTTTCAATGGTCGGAACAATAAAACACACCCCATGGTCGGAACAATGATTGCTTCTTGTTCTACGTGTTTTTTTGTTTCCCAAAATATCATAACTAATGCGAAGCTCCGCTTCGAATTTGTATTTTGAAAAATTTTCAGCAAAATGTGTTGATTTTCAAGAAATTATACTCAATTTCCGCCGGCTTAATTATTTGTCGATTTGTTCAGAAGAATTTTCATCTTGGTTCGCAAATGTTGCAAAGATCCATTTTTTTCACTTTTTGTTTCATTCCTGTATTTCATGTTTTTTTTTTCGTATTGCATGCGGTGCGAAGCTCCGCTTGCCTCTTTCTCTATAATTTGTTATAGTTTAGCATACTTAAGTTCTTCGTTTTGCAGTACTGCTGAAAGGTGTTTTCCAGGTATTTTCAATAAATTGGACTTACTTGTGTACAATTTTAATGGTAAAATGTTGTGTGAACAGCTCCTGATAAGGTATTGACCTGCAAGAAAAGATGCTCAAAAGACGTGATATCAGGTTTTCAATTTTTTCTGGACGCTTTTTTTTCTATTCGTATAATCACATTGCTTTGGGGTCATACCTTTGTTGGCCTTTTATGGGTTTATCACCCATATGACTTGGTACTTCAATTAACTTTTCTCCTTTATGTAAATAAAGAAGACCTTTCTCCTTGATGTAAATTCAAGAGAGGCCATTCAACGTGGTGGGTGAAATTACTTCTCGCTGTCAATATAAGTAAATGTCTTTTGCCTTAGTACTGAATTTCAATGAAAATTGGGCATACACAACCTTTTGAGCATGCGAGATAGAAAGCTCTAGGGAAGACCTCAATGACCTTTACCTTAATAAAGTGTGTTTTAGCGGGCAGAAAAACGACAAGTGCGAAAAATATTAGGCTATTGGATGGAGGTTCTTGCTTACATTGATAGACAATTCCTCAGAAAAACATCGGATGAATGAAACTAGGCTCTTTTTCCGCTCTTTTCTCTCTAAGTAGGCAAACATCAACTTGATGGTGTTACCAGTAGTTTAAAAAAGGTTTGGCATGGATACCAAGTTTGTTTAGTTCAAGTTTGTTTAGTTTAGCATAGATACCAAGTTTGATGCCAAATATCAGTGCAATCTGACAACGCGAAGAAAACTTTTATTAAGAAAATTTCGCAGAGGTAGGTGAAAATGGAAAAAGAACAGCGACTAAGTGTAAGTTCTGTTTTTTGAGTTTTTTAAAATCATCTAATCAATATTCTACCCTAGTTTCGTTTTGCAAAAGGTGGAAATATAAATGCATAATTTATGTATGCAGTACGCTTAACCATATCATTAGGGAAGGTAATGATATAGGTGCCAAATGGGTGGTTGGGCTCTAATGTAACATACCTTTTTTCAACCTACACTGCTAGTGTTCACATTTGTTCTAAGGGTTCCCATTTGAGTTGAATTTTAATTGCTGTTGGGATAATTGGCAACCTCTCGGATCAAAATAAGATCTGAGTACGAGCAAATTTAATGAATTCTGTCCGCGCTGATCCAAAGCCGAATGATTGATTCTGAATGTAATTGAATACGTTAGTCAGTCAAAACCTGATCAATGAAAGCGGCGTTCCTAAAATTCTCCTGAATAACAATCCAATTTTCGCAATTTTTGTTATATTTAAGCTATGTCTGAATCTCTGGGGAAGATGGTAATAAATAATATCCTTCACGTTACTTTACACGAAGTGAAAAAAAAAGTTCAAACGTGTTTCAAGTTTTGGTACGCACAATAATATGAATAACTTTTTCGCCGTAAAAACTCAATTTATATTTAGAATCCTTGTCGGCCAACAAGCACAAAGTGATGGTGCCCAACATCCTCTTACGTCTTTCTCCAAGCGGGGGCATCCTCTACTCCTGCCGTGTGACAGTGGAGTCTAAGTGTCCCATGAATCTCAAGTATTTCCCACTCGACCAGCAGGAGTGCTCTCTTCTTATTGAGGTGTGCAGGGTTTTTATTTGTGATTCTCTTGCGAAATCAAATGATATACGACCCACAAGGTTTTTTTGAGCGGTAGTACAAATTCAACAAAAACCAACGGTCGATCTTTGGTACACTTATATTATTGCTCAAAAAAACTTCCCGGGTCGTACAGTAGTAGACAAAACTTGAAGGACAATTAGTTTTCAATTGTAGTTTAAGACATGTAATACTTCATTAAAAAAGTTTTCATCATTAACAGTGTATTTGCACCGTAAATCTCTGGAAAGTCATCGTTTTTTAAAGTCATCGTTTTTTAAAGCCATCAATGGTGCCTCTTGAAGCAAAAAAAACATTAGCAGGCGACAATTGTTCGCAGGTGACATTTCGTAGCAGTTTAAAAAACAAAAATTCCTCGCTGAGCAACTGCGTCGCCAGAATCAGTTAATTTTCGAGCTTAAATGTTTATTTCACTTGATAGATCACGTGTACTTGTTATCGGGAACAAAACTTCTTCTCGTAAACTATTTTCTCACAAATGTGCAGTTACTTTGAAGTGTTTCTACTTTCAAATACTGCTGCGTATACTTTCAAATAACTGCAGCAGTAGAAAATACAAATAAGCTACCTTTTAGTTCATAGTAGTTAGTAAAAAAATTTAATTAATGTTATTGAAAAAAATGAAAACTTGTTCCGAATCGTATTTTCGTCCTAATTTCTATCGGCTCAATTAACGTTTTTTTTTCAATTTGCAATTTTTATTTGGTACATTTTTGAGCAGCCAAATTTTCAAAGAGGATGTTAAATTTAAATTGTCTGTTAAACCTAGAATTGAAAGTTGTTTTGTAATTGTAAAATTCCTGTATCTATAAATCTGTATTTAAAAAAATAAGCAAATGTAATTAGAAATTTTTTTTAAGATTCAAAAAATTGATCAGAAATTTTTATTAAAACCGCCTTTGATTTGTCTTTAACCCTTTAAATGAATCATACCAGTTGGAAAAAAAGTACAAAGCACAAGGTCAAACCAATTTCATTAAAATCAAAGAGCTGTCGAGTAGCGGAGTTTTCAATGTTTTGCAAGTTCATAATGGAGCACAAAGCTGATATTGGTTTCATTGCTGGTGGTTTATTTGGTGGTTTGCTCTTTGGTAAAGAGAAACCCTCGCCATTTTGCATTGTAATTGGATTCTCGAAAAAGGCTTCTTCTTCCTAGGGAAAGAGGAAATCGTTCACAGGGTGAGCCACATATCTGGAGGACATATATCCCCAAGTGTCATGCAACCTCCACCATTCCCATTTTCTTTGCTGATTCTCCGTGATGGGTACCTGATGCTTATAGTGTTCACTGACGTCTCGTCTCATGACTTCAATCATGTGCCACACTTGGTTTGGGAGATTTAATTGAGTAAGGAGGACTCCAGAAGCTGCAAGGAAAAGCGTACATTAAAAAAGATAGTTGCTCTGAACTGAGATGAGCTTTCTTGAACCGAGAGTTGAGTGGTCGGGGAGAAAAAACTTGAAGATTAAAATACGAAACTAGTAGAATTGAGCGCGGATCAGTTGGTTATCGTTGTTGATTGTAGCTAACTTGAGAAGGAAGTAGTTTTTATTTGAAAATGAGGGATACCTTCAACTCAAAATTCAGTGTTTAACCACTCAGATTAGATTTTCCTTATTTGACAATAGGCGTGTCCAATGAAAATTCAGCTTCCTGTCATGGAGTTTGTTTTAAAGTCGTATCTAATCAGAATTAAAATTCCATTTTAAGATTTTTTTAAAGTTTTTTTTTGTCGTTTCCAATCAGAAAATTCTCCGTTTGTGTTTTTGATTTAGGTTGTCGTATCCAATTTTATTCATCTTTAAAAAAATATACACAAAAGAAGTCGCAAAGATGAATGAACATGTATTTTTTGCTGTAAAAATAAGAAACATTGTTGATTTCAGTAATGAAAAACTGCACATTTCCACAAGTTTTTTCATCAAGTCATTTGATTTTTTGTATATAATGAGTAAACTGCTAAATTTTGAGAAGTTTTTTTCATATCCTGTAGATTTGGGAGGAAAATTTGAAGTTCGACATTTTTTCAAAAGCAAATTTCTGGAAGCTTTATTCCGAACCTGATGAAACAAGATTTTAAACTTTTAAAATCTTGAAGAAATGGAGGAACAGAGAACTTTGCTTGGCTGTTCTGACAGATTAGGTTTAGGTAGGGGATAAAAAGAGTGCTCGAGCAAAGGAAACTATGCGATACATCAGCGGTCTGGAAAAATTTTTTGTTCTTTAAAATAGTAAGAAGGTCGATTTTATGCCCCTGAAAATATGAGTTTGCTTGAGAAATCACATTTGATGTGTACCAAAGCAGACTTGATAACAATTCAAAGGTAATAAGCAAAAATTTATATCGTAGAGCAGTTTACAGAACGCAGACTGGAGGTTCAAGTTGATCACAATTGAGACGTTTTTTGCTGCTTCAATCAGAAGCATCCCAATGGTTATCCGGTATCTTTCTTCCCGGAACTTTTTTCAAAGACCAATCTGTTAACTGTATTTCATTAAATAGAGATAGGCAACCCTACAAAGATCATCTATCTTTTCTGCGCATTAGACATGTACATGTTGATAACGATCTAGACAGGCATTTTCACAGATACTTTATCAAAATTATATCCAAGTCTGGTCATGATCACAGCTATTTTTTTGGAGTTTCCATCGAAGAGTTATTCTTGTCGAAAAAATAATTGAACGCCGCTTTTTTGTACAATTTTAACATTTAAAGAGAATATGTAGGAGAACTTGCTCGAAGAAGTGTTGGAAGATTTGATACAACAGTCAAATTACCAAGGTTCCACAATCATATATTTCATACGGATGATATTCATAGTTTCTTCAAATGATTCCGGTGTCGTAGTTGTGACAGTTTCTTCAAAAGATGATAATTCCACCGGAAGCTTCTAAAATGTAAGGATTAAGTGATATATTTTTACCCAAAGAACGTGCATTGTGAAAAGCTAGAAGGATTTTTTGATGTTTCGATTTCTAAAGAAAACAAATTTTTCAATAACCTAGCAATTTTTCTATTTGAACCGATTTGTGTTTCAACAGAAGAACTAAAAGAGACACAAAATACAATCTGGATGGGAAAAATGTAGTAATTTTTGTCTATTTTCTCGAATCTAACTCATGGATCGTTTTATCCTTTTTATTTGAATTTCGAACTGTTGGCTGAGCAAAGCAATCTGGAGATGAGAACAAAATTCCAAAACATTGAAATAACTGCCAATGAAAGAATGAGAAAGATTTTTTATCAGCTGATTGAAAGAGATAGAATATATTCAAGTAACAATTTTGAATAACAATTTTGTCTACCCAGTTTTTGAAATTCAGAAAGGTCAAATGATTTGAAGATCAAGAATATAGAAAAATCAAAATGTAAAAACTTTGCTTGTGTACTAGGACACCGGAATCTTTGCTTGAGATAAAAATACCTTGCTTGTTTTTGGCTTCAACAGCGGTGGATATGATCAGAATCTGCTCAAGTCATAGCGAATTCCTTATTGGTTCACAAAGAAGAGGAAACATCAGTTACGAAAAAAGCAACTGAATTCATTTCTTTCAAGTTGTACTTCTTCTCAACTTAGGAAATTTTTGGGTGCAGCAGCCTCTCTGGACTCCTTTTTCTGAGCCTATAAAGCTAGCGAAAGGAAAGATTCTTTCCCTATTACTAATTTGACCTGCAATTATCTGTTAATTTTTTTCCGAACCTGATCAAACAAGGATTCCAACTTTAAAGAAGTGGAGGAACAGAGAACTTGCTTGGAAATTTTGACAGTTCTAGCTTTTAATTAGTGGATAAAAGAGTGTCTGATCAAAGGAAACGAAGCGATACTGTAGCGGATTTGAACATTGAATTTGTCGGGAAAGAAAGGGAAGATGGTGAAAGCTAAAGGAAGAACTTAGTGCTTGCCAACATTTCCTAGTGAAACGGAGATGGAAAACGGGAGACATAAGGTATTTATTTTTTAAATGTTCACGTTGGATAGCAAAGATAACAGTTAGAATTTTGAAAAAGATACTCTTTTCTGCCGCAAAAGTTAATTTTGCTCTGGGGTTTGTTCTTCGAAATAATGAAAATTTATGTTTTTGCTCATGAAAACAATGCTTTGTTTAAGAAATTCCATTCGCTGTGTACTAAAGCAGACTGGATAACAATTCAAGGGAAATTTGCGAAAATTTATGGAGCAAAGTACCCAAATTTGTGGAGCATTGTACCCAATGTGGATGTTCAAGCTGATCACAAATGTCACATTTTTTTGCCGCTTCACTCGAAAACATCCCAATGAGATGTCTGGACTCTTTCTTACCCGAGTTTTTGAAAAACCATTGTTCAACGTCTTTTATTAACTTGAAACAGGCGACTCTTCAAAGATCTTTTGTCTTTACCGTTCACGAGCTATGTACATGAACAGAGACAATGGTCTATACACTCACTTTCCTGTATACTTTGCCTGAATTATAGCAAAGTCTGGTCATGATACTAGCAAATTTTGTGGAGATTTTTTTGAAGATTTACTTGTTGCCGAAGAGTTAACTGAACACCACATTTTTAATTACGATTTCGACGTAAAAGGAGAATATGTGGGAGAAGTAGCTCAAATAAGTGTTGCAATATTTGCCAATATAGTAAAATTACTAAGGTTCCACAATCATATGTTTCATACGAATGATATTGTTAGTTTCTTCAAGTGCGTTCAGTGTCCTAGTTGTGACAATTTCTTCAAAAGTTCAGAACTCCACCAGAAACATCTAAGTTGCAAGGATTAACTGATACATATTTATCCAAGGAACGTGTTTGACCTTCGAGAAACCTTGTTTGAAAGGCTAGAAGGATTTTAAATTGCAATTTCTAAATTAAACCAACTTTTCATTAACCTATTAGTTTGCGAGTTTGAACCATTTTGTGTAAGAGACACAAATATGACTAGGAAAACATGTACCCATTTTTGTCTATCTTCTCGAATGATTGAATGTTTTTATCCATTTAATTTCAATATCGAACTGTTGGCCGAGCAAAGCAAGCTGGAGATAAAAACGAATTTCAAACATTGAAATAGGCATCAATGAACGAATGAAAAAGATCTTTTATGAGCTGATTGAAAGAGGTAAAATATTTTTAAGTAACAGTTTTGATTACAAAAATGAATACATTGAAGACTCGGAGGAAGCTGATATGTCCACCGTACTTTTGGTGTGTAGATATGTTTGGAATCTGAACAAGTCATAACGAGTTTCTTATTGATTCACAATAAAGAAGAGGAAATATCAGTTATCAAAAAAGCAAAAGATTTTGTTTCTTTCAAGTTGGAGATGAGCAACTAATTTAAATTGTGAGTTCTTTGGGTGGGGCAACAACTCTGAGATCCTTTTTTCAATGCCTATAAAGCTAGTCAAACGAAAATTTTCTATCCCTATGAGTAGCTCAGTATTAATACTAGCTTAGAAAGCTTCAATCAAGACCTTGCCTCCATCTGGTTGTGGAAATTATAGATCCTGGCGGAAAAACGGAATGTCTATATTCGAATATTTTTGCAGTGGTTAAACAACAAGGTTGTTCCAACTCTTGAACCAATGCAAAAAAATGATTCAATATTGTCGTAGCAAAGGAACTGATATGTTAAAACTTGATTATTTACTTCCGAATCCTATAACGTTGCGAAAGTTATAAAGATTTGTTTGGAAAAATACGCGAAGACTTGACCGGTGGACCGGTGAAACTTGACTCAACTTCAAAGTTTGCAGTTGAGACCCCTACTCAATGTGTCAACAGGAGTGCTACCGACATGCAGAATTTCAACGCAAGGCCTAACAGAGCTCGCAACTTTGAGATTATGGCGATTTCGTTTTACCTAGAGTTAAAGACCAGAATGCAATATTGAGTTCTCTTTTCAGGAAAAGAGAAAAAACGGCTGCTTTAACATGAATGGTTGTTGCGATCATTGTCAAACCGTATTTGAAGCTATGATTTGCGTCTCTCACTTCTTGTACTGTCAAGAAGATCGAACACCTCTGACAGATCAATTCATTCAACGAGGCAACAGGAAGAGAGATGGATGACATGAGAGGAGAATACATTAAAGAGAACGGATACATAATTGTAGAATTGAGGGATTGTCAATGGTAGGAAAGTTTTAAAACCAACGCTAAGATCAGTAATTATTTGAGAACCATTTTTCTCTAGAAAAAGTTTCTTTCTTCATACTCTTTTTTTAAATCAAAATTGAAAGATGGATTTCTGTTTAGGCTGCGTATAGTGCAATCTAGTTGTTCCAGTTGGACTTGAATCAAAGTTCACAAATTTTCCTCCAATTTTCAAAATCACTGAAATTGGAATAAATTATATCGGAGACTAAATGAAGATTTATTCAGTCGATAAATTAACTTGAAGGATAATTTAACATTTCAATCTCGATTGCTTAAGTCTTCATATGTTTATCCTGAGAAAAGGCTGATACTTAGATTCAAGCTAGAAAATGGAGCAGTTTAACTGCTCTCAAAGTTCTATATATGTTTCAATGTATCAAATTTTACCATTTGCACAAAAGTATCCCAAAAAAATTTTCCACATTCTAATTCAGTCAGTGGTTGATGGTAGAATAGAAAGAGATGAAAACCCTCTATCAGGAGTTTTAGCAGAAACAATTTAACTCGTGGGCATTTTCTAAAAAGGGATACCAGATCATAGATAGATCCAAGCATACAATCACGAAGTATCTCATTGGTGAAAAGACTCGAAGCAATCAATGAACCTTTGTTGAAATAGATTGAATACGGTTGAAAAAGACTTGTCTGAGGTCGAGTTTTTGGAAACTCTACGACTGGATCCAGCCAGATAAGAGAGCCGCTGAAAAACTGAAGGAGTTTGAGAAAAACTGAAGGAGTTTGACTGCAGATACTTTTTCCTCGCATATGCAAAATCAAATTTTTTCCCTCGAACGTGTTGCAACACCCATAAAAAGCATAATAAATGGGAGCATGGACTTTTCAAAGAATTTTTTAGGTGCACCCAAATGCTCTGTTCATTTAGCAGAACATATTGCTGCTATGAAAAAAGGTCAGATAATTTCCTATTTTAACAGCAATGGATTGAACCAACGGTTTTAGAGGAATCTGGAGATGGACCTAAGGTAAAGTGTAGAAGACCTCACAACATCGACAAACAAAGGATTCAGAATCTTGAATCATAAGTTTGCTAAATATGAGCAGACAAACAAAGGATTTAGTTTTTTTTTCACCCAAAGAAACAAATCTACTTTTTCAACATCTACCACTCGTTCGATATCAATCATAGTTGTTCGTTTTTATATCGCAAGTGGTAGGAAGCTCAGCCTCGCCTTTAAGTCAATAGTGTTTCATTAAAAGATGTCGAAGCTCTGAAAAATGAAAATGATTGAATTACCCTGCTACGAAATGTTGCCGTAGCTATATGCAACGAGCCATACATAGATCAAACTGTCTAATTGAAATATCGTTAATCAAAACGTGGAAAAACTGTTCGATCCTCATTTTTCAAAACACATAGAAAGCTTTCTAGGCAAACTGGCCTGCGATAAAATGGCAGGATCAAAGCGTCTCTTTAATATCCAGCCTATCCAACATATCTTATTTTTTTTTGAATCCTTGATTAAAAGGCGGTTATATAATGTTAGTTTTCAACAGTAAATGAGCGTAGTTGACTCTTATATAGGTCGCGATTTTTTTTTCCGGATACGTCTTGAAATTTATTTTTTCGCGGTTCGGTTTTTTTAAGTTCAGTTCAATTCCTTTGTTAAAATGAAGGCAAACTCCACTACCGAATAGCGAAAGTGCAAATCTTTCCCAGCGAAATAAAAGTTTTAACGATTGATGCAGTTGTCTTAAATAGTTTGATTTTATCAAAAAAAGTGACGATAATAATTTGTTCTTGAAATTCAAAGAGCTTTAAGGCCTTATATTTTTTTTCTGTAAATTTCGATAGTGAAGCAGTAGCGGATTTAGGGGGTGGGGCGGTTGCGGACCCCCCCCCCCCCCCCTCAGGGATTCGACCCCCTGCCGACCCAAAGGGTCCCCCTTTGTACTATTTTGAGATATCCATTTTTGGCTGACTGACCTAAAAATTTTTCCAAAGGCGCCTTTGGCGCCAATCTATACTAATGTTGAGGGGGGAGCGCGCGCCAAAAAATGCAATTTTTTGGTCGAAATTTTCCAAAAAGTGCCTAAAAACGCTATTTTTGGCCTGTTTTTCAAATTTTTGCCTGCCGCGCAGAAATTTTGGCCAAAACAGGGTCTTTATAGTGGTTTGGGAGAGCTGAGAAAATCAATTTGGTCAATCTAAAAAAAAAGGTCGACAAAATTTTCAAAATTTTTTTGGAAATCCAAAGCCACCCCCCCCCCTCGAGAAATTCCTAGATCCGCGCCTTAGTTGAAGTTTTTTTTGTATGCTGGCTATGTTTAAATATTTTGTGGCATTTCAGGCGTATGGTTACACTGTGACGGACTTGAAGTTGCAGTGGAAGAAGGAGATGGTGGATGGAAAGGAGAAGCCGGCAGTGCAGGTACATGACGAGATTGACCTCTCCCAGTTCGTATACGAAGATCATGTCAAGGACGAGTTCCAACTCTCTTTTTCCACGGGTGAGAACAGAACAGATGCTATGATACGACCAAAGAGCCCCTGCTGCCATCAATCGATGCTGATTTTTTTGCTTTGAAAATGACAAGATAGAATTAGCTTTCGATTATTTTTTGTAAGTGGCAATAATTGTCAGCGAGTCAGATGAAGTTGCGCCTTGAAAATTTCTGAAAATTTTTTAATATATCTATGTATTTAAGCAATTTTTGTGATCACATTACACATAAAAACCTCTTCCAAACTTTTCTTCCCTAGATGACCAAAAATCCTTATCATTCACTTTTCATTCATTGAGAAACGCTTATACAACATTATACTTTCATTGACCAAATAATTTTATGAAATAATTATGACAAGCATTTTTTCATTAATTCTGATAAAATGGAATTATTTTTTTTTTGGTGAATTTTGCTTTAAAATTTTATATTCCTTTTATACAAGCTTCCTCATTGCTCAAGGCTTCAAGTTTTATATAAGCTTCCTCATTGATTAATTAGATATAATCTCACAGATAACCTGTATTTGGAGATTAAAACAAAGTTGATAATTGTATTATAATAAAAAACTCCAACAAAAAGCTGATTGTATATGACTGAAAAACGTCTATTTCGAACATTTTTAATTGAAAATTGCTGCGGACTGTTTTTCTGAAGAATAAAATCATTTCACAATAAAACCATTATAAAAACAGTTCTGAATTCACACTAAATGTTCATAATTTTTTTTTGTGTGTGAAAAGATTGTCTGGAGAACGTTCTTACGCTTGCTATTGGCAAATGTTATGATATCGGAACCTAGACCTTTTTTTGCTTAAAACAACTGAATCATTTTGTCAGCTCTTTCATTAACTATGATTAGCCAACTAAAATAATTTGAGCATGTTTATCCGATTTTATTTTTTATTTGCGTTATAGGTTTGTTTGATTTTATATCCGATTTTTTTTAAATTTGCGTTATAGGTTTGTTTGACTGAGTTGTTTTGGCGTCTGATACATTGGGTTAATAACTTCTTTTTGTGCCCTTTGAAGGGACACAAAACTAACTAATTGTGTCCTTCGAGAAAATTACAAGGTGTTTAAAGGCACGTTTTCAGAGATGGCATTTTTTTTTAGCTCAAAGGGTGTCTTCCTAAGAATTATCGTATTTTTAAGAGTCGATGAACATAGTTCAGACTTTTATTTAGGTCGTGATTATTTTCGTTTTTTTTGAGGTAAAGGCAGGCTCAAATGTACTTTTTTGCGGTTTGTCTTTTGCGGATTTCAGTTCAGTTAATTTCCTTTCTTTTGTTAAAAGGTAGGCAAACTCCTCTATCGAACAGCGAAAGTGTAGGCTAAGAGAAACGTGATCGACTTTTAATTTCGAAAATGGAATTTAATTATCAGGTTCCCAGCGAAACTAAATTTTACATCTTTATCTTTCTCAACTTGGGTTACTTTGATCAAAAACGTGTCATTCATATGTTATAGAAATTCAAATCTATTTTTTCTTCGAAATTCGAAAGTTACGATTTTTCAAAGAACAAGTGAGTTTTTTTTGTTTACTTGCGTTAATTGACTCTTTTTCAACCGTCTATTGGCTATGTTTTTTTGTTTTAATATTTTTTGCTTCGACCTTCTTCTAGTGTGTTGTAGTTTTTTTCCCCACGCAACATCAGGTATCACATTTGATCATCGGAATATTTCGTGTAGTATATCATCGTGAAGCCCTTTCAAACATTTACTCAGTGTCCAGAAAAAACAGTTTAGTTTTTTGATTTTTTCCAATTTTATGCGAATAAAGTGAGTGACCCCGCTTTTTTGTCTTTTTTCTCCGCCAAAATCAGTACTATAAATAATCATCCGAATTTTTTACTGATTTTTATACAAGGAAAGCTTGTGTTATAGTATGACACTTTTTTCGAACCTAAGTCGCAAATATTATTGCGACAAAATGTGTTCATTTTGATCCAAAACCAGCTATTAAGTACGGGCAATGCTTAGAATATTAACACAGACTATCATACTACAAATAGCACTTAAGCTTCGAGGTATCATGCACCTGTAAGTTTAGAGGCAACGAAGGAGACCAGAACAAAATAATAGGGTTCGAACTTTTTCGTATACTATCTAAAATGCGTCCACTCTATAAATTAAGGCATGTTAATTGGTAAATATGTTTTTTTTTTCAAATTGACTCGTCATAATTGGCGTGCGTCACTTAGGAAGTTTTGTAGACTCAAATTTTTACTCATTCAGTTTTTCCCAGTAACGTTATCTTTCACATTTTTGTTAGTGTATGTGAAGTGCAACTTCGCGTCTGTGTTATATTAAAGCCCTTTTAATCGTAAGTTCGAGCGAGTAAAGCGATCGAGTAACGTTTGTATTACACAAGCGCAGATTAGTGTGATAATACGATGCAAGTTTTTTTTCAACCCTGGCAGAGGTCGGGGAATTATGTTGCGAGCATTGCGACCCAAAATGGGTAAGTTGCGGCCATCACGATTTAAAACAGGTATTTTGCAAGCATTGCTACTCAAAACGGGTATGTTGTGACTTTGAGCAACTCATGAAAACTGGCGCGAATTTGTTCGACCCAAAAAAGATATCGCAATTTTGAGCGATTCATTTCTCAGGCAAAGCAAGGTTGCGCGATTCATTTCTCAGGCTAAGACAAATTTGCAGAATTTTTTCCTCAGGCAAAGCAGGGCTTCTCGGCATTTATGATGCAGCAAAAATATCAAGACAAGCAAAATGAGACTCAAATCTTTAATTTGGAAAAAGAATTTGCTAAAATAACGAAACAATATGTAACTCGATTTTCTTAGATAGAAAATTTTAATTCATTCTATGGAAAACGCTTCAAGAAAAACAAATTGACATATAGCCGGTTTCTATCTAAATAGCATAATATGTTACGGCCATTCATATGAAAATTTTTCTAATAAAAGTTTTTAATTTGTGCGTGGCGTGATGAAAGATCTATACAAACCCGTAGAAAATTGGTGACCTAGAAATAATCGACAACATTAGTATTCAAAAATTAGACTCAAACCGATAAAATGGCAACATTGAAGACAAACAATTGATTTTTTTCTCAGCACAATAGCTTATTACACTTGCGAAAGCAAGTGTCTGGTAATCTTGTAATAGACTTTTTCCCCATAAACTAATTTCTGACAAGTTTTCATCTTTGTTACTTACTGATTCTTAACAACTTCCAGATTCTTTCATATTTAGACTAGAGGTAACGCCGTAGCCTTAGCACCGTAAGGTCCGGGGTTCCAATCTCGGTCGGACCTTGTTTTCTAGTATTTATGCAATTGAGAACCTGCTTTTGTATTTAACATTTAAATGTATCGCTTGGCATATTTCAGTAGAATTCTTTTGTGATAAACAGTTAAAATGAAAATGTATGGGATGGGTTGCTTTTTTGAGGAGCTTCGAATTTTTTTTTTTCACTTTTTGCCAAAGTTTGCCAACGATTTTTGTGATTTTGAAAAAAGCGTATCAATGGAAAGACTACCTGGTTTTAGGTTTACCTGCATACTATCTTACTCTCTTTTTACTTAACCCCTCTATCTACAGCCTTCAAAAAAGTCTTATATGGAGGGATATTTGATCCATGTTATTGATTTTTTGTTTCCTAAAAAACAACCCTCCCAAATCTGAGACTTTAGTTTTACTGAATAAGAATGGCTCTGAAAAGCTCCCATGCCCAAGAGGCTAATACCATTTTTTTTACACAAAGGTATGCCCCTCGGAATAGTTTTTGACCGTTTTTTTTAATTTTTGATTTATCTCGAAAACTACGCTCCTATATCTGAGTCAATTCAAAGAACAGGTCGTGGGAACCTCCTTTGCTTATGCAACTGCGCCCAGTTTTTTTTGACACAAAATGTTATAGCCCTTGTAAAAGTCAAAATTTTGATTTATCGATAGTTCTTTGAAATTTTTTGACGTTTCTGGAGAACTACTTAATCAAATTTCGTGCCCATTCGCAGTGCCAAGTTCCGTGCCAATTAAACTACCGTACCATTTCTTAAGTTAAGTGATCATTTGAGAACCCGGGATTTGGGGATATTCTCTACTTAGCGGTCACAGAAGAAAGTTATGGATTTCGGAAATAAGTTTTTGAAAGACCGTTTTTCAGAAACTTTTTGAACTTCAGATAAAAAGTTCAATCGAAAGAAGCGCTTGCAATATTTTTTTTTGCAAAAAAAGTGGCGATTTTTTGATTTTTTGTATGAGAAATGTTATGCACTTGGGAAATATCCGATCCGATATCTCATAAATTTTCTTATTTCAGTAGAGAAAAACTAGAGAAGGTTTTGGACAGTCCAATTTTTTAAATCACACAATTCTTACCGCATCAGTATAACAATTTCAAAAAATATCCAACACATACCTACAGCTTAAGCTAGGTCCCTAGTAGTCTTTAATTGCGAAATGCGAAAACTTTACCCGACTTTCGCTGGAGCAAACGGGTTGTAAATATTAGCTCCAGGGATCCGAGTTGCTGGTGTCATTCAGTAGAAAATGATAACAGTCCTTTTCGACTAGTTTAGATTTGGACAAACTCTTGTCGGCCATCGTTGGTTAAAACGTCTCAGGATTTACAGGTCTTTAATTGCTACTACCATTTTTTTTACACAAAGGTATGCCCCTCGGAATAGTTTTTGACCGTTTTTTTTAAAATTTTTGTGGCGAAATGCGAAAACTTTACCCGACTTTCGCTGGAGCAAACGGGTTGTAAATATTAGCTCCAGGGATCCGAGTTGCTGGTGTCATTCAGTAGAAAATGATAACAGTCCTTTTCGACTAGTTTAGGTTTGGACAAACTCTTGGTGGCCATCGTTGGTTAAAACGTCTCAGGTTTAAAAAACTCGAGGATTGGCTATGCCGTAGATGTTGAGTGCATTGGGTGGAAGGCATGTTTATGGTCTGTTTTGAGACACGCTCGATTCGGGTTGTGTGAATTAAATTCTGCAGAAATTCATTGAAATAAACACCGGGCGGCAAGTTTC